GACTTACGAATAGACCCTGCCACAGTTTCCGAAATAAAGACAATAGTTAAAAAATTACCGAACAGGAAAGCACCAGGACCGGACGGACTACAAAACATAATACTTAAACAACTGCCGACGAACGCCTACATTTTACTTACCCGGATAATAAACAGAATAATGACAAAAGGCTGCTTTCCCGCTTCTTGGAAAACCTCCACCATATTTCCAATAGTAAAGCCAAGGAAACAGCCAGACATACCACAGAACTACAGACCGATCAGCCTCCTCAACACAATGAGTAAGGTAGCCGAAAAGGTACTACTCAAAAGACTTAACAAACACATAAGACACAACAAAATTATACCTGACACACAATACGGATTCAAAGAACGACACTCTACACTACACCCACTGACAAAACTCATAGAAAATACAGTACTCAACTTCAACAGACGAAACCATACCGGATTGGTGTTACTCGACTTTGAGAAGGCGTTTGACACCATCTGGATGGACGGACTTGTACATAAACTTATCCAACTCAACTTTCCACCGTACATAACGAGAACTTTACACTCATACCTCTCAGACCGTAACTTCACTGTACAAGTAGACAACGGACTTTCGACGGTTAAACAAGTGACGGCGGGAGTACCGCAGGGCTCGATCCTGGGACCGTCCTTGTTTAACGTCTACATTCACGACATACCCACTGACGCCGACACAACGTTACTGACGTTTGCTGACGACACTGCCATATACAAATCATCACGATCACCGACGCTACTGACTACAAAGATACAGACACACATAGACAAGCTGATCGAACATACTGACAAATGGCAGATCAAAATCAATCCGCAAAAGACGGAGGCAATTTTATTTACAAAGAGCCGAAATGCCATGACTAGACTGACTGACTTGGACAAAATTAAAGTATTGGACTGTGAAGTTGAGTGGTCGAAGGATGTCAAATATCTTGGTGTGACCCTGGACCATAGACTCAGCTTCACAAAACATATTAATACAAAAATTGGACAGGCTTACGGGATGTGGAATCTACTGAGACCTCTCTTGAACCAGAACAGCCCGCTAAGCGTGCAAAACAAGCGGACACTTTACTTGACACTAATAAGACCGCTACTGACATACGCCGCTCCTGCATGGAACGCGATGACTAAGACTAACTTACAGAAACTACAGACATTACAAAATAAGACACTACGAATAGTACTTAACAAAATAAGGGACCCACTGACTAGACATTACTACTCTTCAAAATACATACACAAACAGACTGACGTACCGACAATACTTGACTACATGAAAAAGCTTACTAAAAATTTTTACCTAAAATGTGGGGATCATCCTAATATTAACATCGCGGGCCTCGGCCAATACACAAGAGACGATATTTGGTATGGCAATCACGCCATGCCAAAATATATACTGATCGACCCATAGTGGCAATTGATAATTGGATGAGAATAAATCATTTATTTTGTTTTTTCTTTTTATTTGTATAATTATGTATAATTATAAATATTGCTCTGTGGCTTTTTTTTGAGGAAAAGTTTTCTTTCCTCTTTTTTTGCCACTCAATATGTAACACATCAAGCTAAATTCACAATATCCACTGTATATATTAAGATCAATAATGTAATATAAAGTACCCAAGGGTAGAAAAATATGTGTAAATAACAATGCATATGTATGATCAGCTACTGTAATAAATACTTTTTGTCTGTCTGTCTGTCTTCTCAATTTCAACAGACGAAACCATACCGGACTGGTGTTACTCGACTTCGAGAAGGCGTTTGACACCATCTGGATGGACGGACTTATACATAAACTTATCCAACTAAACTTTCCACCGTACATAACGAGAACTTTACACTCATACCTCTCAAACCGTAACTTCACCGTACAAGTAGACAACGGACTTTCGACGGTTAAACGAGTGACGGCGGGAGTACCGCAGGGCTCGATCCTGGGACCGTCACTGTTTAACGTCTACATTCACGACATACCCACTGACACCGACACAACGTTACTGACATTTGCTGACGACACTGCCATATACAAATCATCGCGCTCACCTACACTACTGACTACAAAGATACAGACACACATAGACAAACTAACTGAATATACTGACAAATGGCAAATTAAAATCAATCCGCAAAAGACGGAGGCTATTCTTTTCACAAAGAGCCGAAATGCCACGACTAGACTGACTGACTTGGACAAAATTAAAGTATTGGACTGTGAAGTTGAGTGGTCCAAGGATGTCAAATATCTTGGTGTGACCCTGGACCATAGACTCAGCTTCACAAAACATGTTAATACAAAAATTGGACAGGCTTACGGGATGTTAAATCTACTGAGACCTCTCTTGAACCACAACAGCCCGCTAAGCGTGAAGAACAAGAGAACACTTTACTTGACACTAATAAGACCGATACTGACATACGCCGCTCCGGCATGGAACGCGACGACTAAGACTAACTTACGAAAACTACAGACATTACAAAATAAGACACTACGACTCGTACTCAACAAAATAAGGGACCCACTGACTAGACATTACTACTCTTCAAAATACATACACAAACAGACTGACGTACCGACAATACTCGACTATATAAAAAAGCTCACTGAGAATTTTTATCTAAAATGTGGGGATAATCTTAATATTAACATCGCGGGCCTTGGCCAATACACAAGAGACGATATTTGGTATGGCAATCACGCCATGCCAAAATATATACTGATCGACCCATAGCGGTAAATGAAACTTGGCTCGACGCAAATATTCTCCCTTAAAGTGAATAAATCTTTTATTTTCTTTTTCTCCTTTTTGAGTTATTATGTGTTATTATAAATAGTGCTAAGTGATTTTTTTTGAGGAATAAATTTTTTTTCCTCTTTTTTGTCACAGAATTATGTCACAACTTGTATATCTGAAATACTTATTATTGTATTGATAGAACAAATATGAAGGATGATATACCTACGGGTTAAAATTCGAAATGAGAAATATTATGTACACATATATATATTCAATGAAATATATTTATTTATTATTATTATTATTATTACCCGGTACTCGTCTATCTCTCGATCCGTGTCCATTTCACTGCGGTCCGATAACGCCTGATACTTATTTTTGAGGACGGTGCTCGTCAAGACATCCATGTCTTGCGACATTTCCCTAGGCTCCCGCCCGGGAATTCTGGTGATTTTATTCGATGTCCACTGAATTTATTAAAATATAAAACACTGTACTTTAGAAAATTTTGAATAACACTTTCAAATGTGCTACTTTCAATTCATTACCAATTTCGATCCAGAATTCGGAAAGAAAGTAGCAAAAGGCACGTTCACCTTGTAATTTAGTGTCGGAAGCGGAGCAAGCTCCTGACAAATTTGCGCTTTGTTAAAAAAGACGCAATATATTACCGATACTTAGAATCGTGCGATCATATAGTACCCGATGATAAGATCTTTTTGATCCGTTTGGTCGATTACCTCTTCATCGGATTTAAATATCTGACTGGCGAGCATTATCTTGAGGTCGGCGAATAGGAAATAATCGCTGGGGTCATATCTGGTGAATGTGGAGAATGTGGAAGCAATTCAAAACCCAATTCGAAGATTGTTGTGAATGATTTGTGACATGGTGCATCGTCGTCTTAAATCTTCGATTCATGACGACGATTCAGAAACTCTTTCGATTTCGATCTTCAGACGCTCTAATAACTTTACTAATAGTCGCTATTAATGGTATTTTCTTTCTCAATATAGTCGATTAAGATTATGCTTTGCGAATCTAAAAAAAAAAAAAACTGGCGCCATAACTTTTCCAGCTGATCGTTTGCGATTTCCTCGGCCAGTTCACTAGGCTGACCATTTGTGGAACTCCGGTGTGTAGAAATGAGACCAGATTACATCCACGGATACATATCGACTCAAAAACCGAGTTTTGTTTTGCTTGAATAGTTTTAAATACTGCTCCAAATCATCAACTACTTGTTGCTTTTGATCAAATGTAAGCTCGCGCGTAAGACATTTTGTACAGAACTTTGTCATATCGAGTTTCAGCTAACTCGATTAACTTCACTTTATGGCATTGAAAATTGAAAACTATTGAAAATTATTTTATGTTTACGTCGGTATCTACCCTTCTTGGCGTCTACTGGCTCCTGTACTCATATAGCCTGCGCGGAATTTTTCAAAACTTTCTAATGGGCCTATCGCTTAGTGCAGATCCGGCATTTTTTGATATTAGCACACTTTTTCTCATTAGAAAGTAATGTTTCATTAACATTCAAAAATCCCTGTTATCCACTATCTTCAAAACAACAAAAGTAGCTTCACTCCGAATGCTATTTACTCACCAATTGCTCAATAGCTGCCAAACTTATATACGTAGTGTTTGAAAGTTGGTTCTAACTGAAAATGCTATGGATTAAATACTATTGGCGCTCTCAAATACAAACGAAATGAATTTTTCTGACGGCCTAATAATAACTTCGTATTCTAATAATTTATGATTTTTAATATACGTCTAAAAATTCAGTTTGAAGGCAGTGATTTCTTTGAATATTTGACACGTATTAGAATATTTGCTGATTAAATTAATCAAATATAAATTATCGCAGTAAGTCTATAGTGTATAATAAACATGAAAAGGAAAATTAAAATATTAAAATGAAATTAAAGGTTTATGAAAGAAATAATATTATTATTAAGTCATATTTAGTGAAGATATTAATTTACTATTAATTAATATTAATTATTTTATTAATTATATTATATTTTAATAATTATATATTATACCTATAAATATATTTGCTTAATCAGATTTTCTTACTACGTAATCATTATACAACGTATGCTTTAATTTCTATTTCTTAATTTTTTGTATGTATGTAATAATCTAAAAAATATATGTGTTGTCACGATTTGTGCGAATATGGAAAACTAATTATAATAAAATCATTATATTTTTGCAGGGCCTATCTGCTGGCAGATGTGAAGTGCAGGCCGTTTCACCTGTTACTGGCCGAGTAATGGGCGCGAGGGAAGTGCGTGTGGCGTCTGATAGAGTTGCTATCGCTGGTCTTCGAGCAAATGTTGTATCAGGATTGCAACTTCGAGTTTCAGCTGCATCAGATTCAGGAAACAGTAAGTATTAGTAAAAAATAGTTCGGTAATTGTCTTTTCAATATACATAAGTAGTTTGTCCAATTGGTATAGAACGCGTGGGTTAAGGGCAAAACAACTTTTATTATAAACATGTTGAAACCATTTCTTAAAACAATATTGTTCAGTAATATGAGTTTACTTTCTGTAAATATTGAAAAGTGAAACAATGTATTGTTTTTATATTTTCTACTAGTTATAACTTTAATTATTTATAAATCATAAGTTGTCAAAGTAATGCCTGGACAATAGGATACTAATAACTCTAATGATGCAATGGGTAATATTTCACTTGTATTTGTACTGTATGTGTGTGTGCGTGAATTTAAAAAAACTATTTTTCCTAATTATTGGCTATTTTACTATTTCTAAAATAACTAAAATTAAAGTTACGCTAAAATAACTAAAGTCAGGTATACTTTTTGTTACACACGATTCAGTTTATTGCACACTACACTTTACGTGAAGTTGTGAAATTATGAGAAATCACTTAAAAGTTAATCAGAAATATTTTTTTGAATTTTTTATGAAAGCAGCTTGTAAACGCGTATAAAAGTTTCTCCCTCGATATCTCAGGTTGTTAAGTTATAATTTAACCTTTGTAATAGTAGTGTATAAAACACTGATTCGTTAGTATAAGTTATGCATTTGTTGCAAAGATTTTATTAACTACTATACTCATTTGCCACTAAGTTTTACTTGGTGGAAGATTTTATTATATTAACTTTCCGAAGGAGAAGTTTCATCAAAAAATCCGATTCGCTAATTTTATGTTTTCTCGACGTTTCAAGCCATTCTGAATCGAATTACAGATTTTTTTGCTGTAAATTGACGCTTTCTCAAAAACGGTTGGACCGGTTTCAAAAATTTTAAAGCCATTCGATGTATCTCGATGAGGACTAGCGTTTATCAATTTTGCTCCAAGATCAACCAAGCCGTTTCTTTGTAAATCGCAGAAAAGTGAAAAATTTATCGTCTAGCCCGCAATTCTGAATCGATTTTGAAAATTCAAAAACTGTTTGAAAAATATTGGTTGAGAATCGTGCTGATCAGTTATTGGTAAAGATCATTATTGATATTTTTTTCGACGATTTTTATGATTTTTTTGTTGACGATAGATACCATAGTCTTATAGATCATACTGAAATATTACGGCCCTACGACAACTCGTTTAACTCTAAAAATTCGCCAAAGTTTGCAAAAATTAGTATCGTTTTTTTGGCATTTGTCAAAATTAGACCTTTCATCGACATTTGCTCAAAATCGCCTGACCCGATTTCAGAAATTTAAAAGCCATTTGATGTACCCGATGAAGATTATCGTTTGTCAGTTTTGTGCGCCGATCTGCAAAGCTCTTTTTTTGTTATTTGGAAAAAAGTGTTAAACTTTTTGTTCACATTTAGGCTCATACTACCAAATCGATTTTAAAAAATAAAAAACATTTCGAAAGATATTAGTTGGGAATGATACTGATTAGTTTTAGGTGAAAATCTACCGAGTCGTTTTCTTGTAATTAACTGTTGAAGCCGATTTTTATGGAACTTTTTTGGTGATATATATATATATATATATATATATATATATATATATATATCATGGTCTTATAGAACTTACTTAAATATTACTGCCTTATGACAAGTAGTTTACTTTTGAAAATTGTTTGCTTTTAGAAAATACTCCGAGTTACCGTGTTCGTTCGTTTTCAATTATGTGTAATTAGTCCACTCGGAATACTTTTAATGACTCATAAATTAATTTATTTTTTATTGATTAAGTCGATTATTTACACGTATCGGGAAGTTGATGTAACTTGCCTCAAAGCAAAATACCAACACCGACTAGTTTATTACTTGTTTATTATACATGTTACTATGCAGACTTTAGTTTGGATCTTTAGTTTTGGATCTACGCTAGCCCTCTTCAGGGTAGCAATTAGCAATGTAATTATAATAGTATGGAGAATGCAAAACAACGCAAATTCTAAAATTTGCTTGATAAATTTATCTTGCCTATAAATTTTGTTTGGATCTATACAGTTCTGCATGCATTTCTGCACGTCGCGTTCTTCTGACATGTAAATTCAAATGATTTGAAATATTGCTTCATGCATTAAATATTATTACCATAAAAAACAATAGGCGCATTTTACAGCATGTAATTTGTAATACATAGACATTTGTTTGAGATGCGCTCTCTTCTGTTATGTATCCGGTCATTACTTATATTTATGTTCAACTTTCAGATAAATATATATATAGATATATATATATATATATATATATTAGAGATGGGTAACTCACTCCGGAGTTATCACTCCGATACAACTCCTCCCTCGGAGTGAATCCGAGTGGAGTCGTTTCACAGGATTTGTCATATCCGACATTCCTAAAATGGTATTAAATCTCTTAACTCGTGCAGGCATTTACTGTTTTTTGGCGTTTTTGCCATGGGAAGGATGCGGTCGCTTTCTCGTCTCTAGTTTTATGACCTTTTAGGTATCAAACTCAAAAATAATACCATTGTGTATTTTCCAGAAAATACAAAAGTGTTACTTCAAAGATACAAAACAATGAAATTGTGTTCAAGTGTGAATAGCTCAAATGTATAATTTATTGAATAGTAAGGGGTCATATTTCCAACTACGACAATCTTTGGCCGTAAATGACGGCATTCAGGAATACAAATACCGAAAAATACACGAAACAAAATACATTTAATCTGGTTTTTCAATAGCCTGAAATAACAATACTTTAGAGTGCAAAATATATCAGTGACGTCAATAGTATTTAAGCAGTAAAAAATATATAGTATTAAATTTTTACTTTTACACAATTATATAATTGTGTTTAAAGTAATAATATGCTAATTGAAATACCCGATATAATATTAATTCCCGAATGGAAATAGCAGAAGAAAAAATTAGAAATCAGAAGTATTATTATTTGGTGAAAATATTTTATGATAAATGTTTTGCTTTCATTACAAAGTTTACTACATTATTTTAATATAAAATTAATCCAAAAAATCTATTATTTTCTCATCAGAAGAAGAAAATAATTAAATTGAATTTGATTCTTAAGTTTTGCGTTTCTACTTTGGTCAACACTGTTAAAATTACGAGTCATTGAGTCGAACATGTGGTGTACCGAAAAGTTTTACAACTCGTCATTTACTTGTGATTTTTTTAGAAAAATTATTTCATTGATATTTTTTAATTTTATTTTATTCATAAATTTTCATTTAAAAAAATTAAATGGGATTTCACAATTCTTTGATGCATAAACAACGCATTATAGAACACATTTGTGTCGAGTATTTCGGTTTCAAAGTAGTCGGAGTCGTGGAGTTGTTAAGCGGATATAACTCCTCCCTGAAGTGGAGTCAAATCCGAGTCGATCCGGCTTCGGATATGATAAGCCCATCTCTAATATATATATATATATATATATATATATATATATATAATTAAATACCCTCAACGTATATATATATATAAATATATATATATATATATATATATATATATATACATATTTATTCGAAGTACATTTGAAGATCAAATTCCTGAACGTTGATATTTGCATAGTTCGAAGGACAAGAATTTCTAAATGGTATCGACATATATTGCTCTATTTTGATCGCTATATTTTAAGTAATAGGGCCAAATTATCTCGTAGTATATTGATACAGGATAGGGCCAGACACCAGTGGCGTAACTAGGCCACCCGGGGCCCGTGGCAAATTTTTTTGATGGGGCCCCTCCATCAGTAAAATCAAGTGGTTTTAATTTAATTTAAAAAAACTCGAAATTTTTCAACGTGTTGATTTAAATGTTATATCTATATCCACGATTTGTAATGAATTGTATTAAAAATGAGTAAATCCACTTCGACTTATTCATATTTTATGGTTTTAAATTGAGAAATTATTTAAAATGTATGTATACAAAAATTAAAAAAAAAATTAAAATGTATAAGTGCAAGAAAACATAAAAATAAAAATAATTATAAGTCAAAATTAATAATTTAAAAGTACAATTACTACTTTGTTTTGAAAATCAACCATAAAATTTTTGTGTTTAAACATTGTAATACATGAACTATAGAAAGGATTTTTTTATGACTGAATTCAACAGAGAAAGAACATAGTACTTTGGGGTTAATAATAATTATTACATAACCTAACATTAACAACCAATTTTTCACGTGTTTTCTCAACAATCAAATCCTTTTTAATACTTTTTGAAAACTTCATATTCGTCATATACTCGCTGGCCCTTTTTGGTGAAGAAACCTATTTAAAATATGCATAAATTTGGAATGAAATAAAAATAACAATTTAATTTCAATAAGGTATTTATTAATTAAAATCTTTTCTTCGTGCTTTCTGTTCTGCAAAAGTGTCTATGACATCATCAAAATTTAATGAACGAGCCATAGTATTTTCAATAGTATTTTCAAAACTTAATAAAAAGTTAGTTTTATATTAGTCATTATTTGCATATTATTGAGCTTCATAAATAATATTAAAGAAAATATTAAAAAAAAATCACAACACTCTAAAATAATATTTTTACATTCTTACACGCTCATGTTTTTTTTCGAAATTAAATTTATTTAGAAGAAAATTTTCATGTTTATTCCAACTTCTGTTATTAGTGAAATAAAACCAAAATTTGTTAGATTTTACTAATTTTTACGCGTATTTGGGGCCTCCGTGGCCTGGACAAAATAAAACTCTTTAAAATAATAATCTTACATTCCTCGCGGACTTTTTTACGCGTATTTGGGGCCACCGTGGCCTAGACATAATAAAACTCTTTAAAATAATAATCTTACATTCCTCGCGGACTTTTTTACGCGTATTTAGGGCCCCCGTGGCCTAGACAAAATAAAACTCTTTAAAATAATAATCTTACATTCCTCGCGGAGTTTTTACGCGTATTTGGGCCCCCCGTGGCCTAGACAAAATAAAACTTTTTAAAATAATAATCTTACATTCCTCGCGTACTTTTTTACGCGTATTTGGGGCCACCGTGGCCTAGACAAAATAAAACTCTTTAAAATAATAATCTTACATTCCTCGCGTACTTTTTTACGCGTATTTGGGGCCACCGTGGCCTAGACAAAATAAAACTCTTTAAAATAATAATCTTACATTCCTCGCGGAGTTTTTACGCGTATTTGGGGCCCCCGTGGCCTAGACAAAATAAAACTCTTTAAAATAATAATCTTACATTCCTCGCGGACTTTTTTACGCGTATTTGGGGCCACCGTGGCCTAGACAAAATAAAACTCTTTAAAATAATAATCTTACATTCCTCGCGGACTTTTTTACGCGTATTTGGGGCCACCGTGGCCTAGACAAAATAAAACTCTTTAAAATAATAATCTTACATTCCTCGCGGACTTTTTTACGCGTATTTGGGGCCCCCGTGGCCTAGACAAAATAAAACTCTTTAAAATAATAATCTTACATTCCTCGCGGACTTTTTTACGCGTATTTGGGGCCCCCGTGGCCTAGACAAAATAAAACTCTTTAAAATAATAATCTTACATTCCTCGCGTACTTTTTTACGCGTATTTGGGGCCACCGTGGCCTAGACAAAATAAAACTCTTTAAATAATAATCTTACATTCCTCGCGTACTTTTTTACGCGTATTTGGGGCCCCCGTGGTCTGGACAAAATAAAACTCTTTAAATAATAATCTTACATTCCTTGCGTACTTTTTTACGCGTATTTGGGGCCCCCGTGGCCTGGACAAAATAAAATTCTTTAAAATAATAATCTTACATTCCTCGCGTAGTTTTTTTAACGACATTAAATTTGGTTGAACGAAGTTTTCATGATTAATTCGTTTTTCATGATTTGTTTATATCATTAATAATAATAAAGGCCTTGGGCCGGGGGCCTGTGGCATTTTGCCACCCACGCCACCCTATAGTTACGCCACTGCCAGACACAAAGGTTCAATTTGACTTCGAGCAATTATATTGTAAAAACCACTTACAATATAATAGCTACATTATTCAAACAATGCAAAATATGAATTTCTTGGGTATAGTTTTTACAGAGATAAACACGATATATAACAATGATCTGGTATTTCGTCAAATATTCATCAGCAGAGTTGGAATAAGTATTTATTTAATATATTTGTTCCAAATGCTTTATTTTCTTTTTTTTGTTGTAAAAAGCAAGGTGATGGCTGGTTATACAAATTTTTCCCTCTATTTTCAAATATTGTTATTGACAAATTTTTGACTTTACTTGTTTTCGAGTTACCGGAGGTAGACCTTTTACCCGCGGAACTTTAAGCTCCCTGTACCTAATACTACTAGTAAGCAATAATTCGTTATAGAGCATAAAAAAATATAAAATTAAAACTAGCTGTACTTTAGTCAATGTTGATTTGTTTGAGTGACTCACTTATGGACTCTTTGCATCAGTACGAAATATCCCACAATGACTGATTATCCTAATTAATCTTTCAATAAACTTCCCAATTTTATCCAAAACCAAACATTTTTTATAAATAAATTTGTTTTATCTTACTGGCTTATAGTAAAAGATACTCATAGATAAACAAGTATGAAGATACTTACAGTTTGACATAAAATAAGCACATTAATCGCGTTTTTATGGTTTTCCCTTATCAGAACAAATTATAATGATTTACATAATTCATTGACACCTGATTCATAATTATTTGCTTTAGTTGAAGGATACCTATTTCATTATATAATTTTGGCGGTTTAAAAGTTAGTATATATTATTATATTACTTCAATAGATTTAATATTAATGTTTTTTCCAGGTTGGGCTTCTTCGGGCAATTCCAACACTGGCGGAGATGAATACATTGCAGAGACCTCCGTTACTAGAAAACTAACAGCTCAATATCAGGAGGTATAGTATTAATATTTATTATAATCTATTATCTCATCTATAATCGGCCATGAAAAGGGTCTTCAGTGTATAGTCCCTTCACGGACAACCCCCATATCGTGCAGAAGCGATATCAATTTTTACTTGGAAATATAGATCTTAAATGTGTTTTCAAGTGAAAATAGCCCTTCCCGAGCAATGCTAGCTGCATCAAATTGGATAATTAGTCAGGCCTATTAGAAAAATTCTAATAATGAAATTATGAAATGTGGATGGAAAACATCGATTGGTTACTATCTAAAAATACGACGTAAGGAAAAGTTTCATTCTAACTTCTAACAGCTTAGAAGACGTAAGGGTTTTGATTGCTGTTAAAATATGAGGAAAAATAAGTAAAATTTATATGATTTTTTTTCAATACTGGTTGCTTACAATAATTTGTATTGGATTGTTCACCATGTTTCATATTATATATAATTCGAAAATAAAAAATTTGCGATAAATAAATTTTGTTAAAATATGAAAAAATTGTTTTACATATATTATTATTAACCCTGAATCATTTGTATTTTATAAAGCTGCATTTGAATTTTAGTTGAATGACTACAGAATTGTAAATAAATTGTCGTTTGAACATCAGATACATTAGTATATTATCAGTTTCTTTATCTGCTAAAAAAAGCTTAAAAATGTTAATGACAATTACAATAGTAAACCGCGAATTTGTTAACTAGGGTAAATTTGAGTTTATTTTCAGGGTCTTCTGGACCTGGACGTAGTATTTTCTGATGGTTCAGTAACACCACTACGGGACATTGATCGTGATGCATATTCTCTTCGTGTGCAAAGTTTGGATTCTGAGGTTGTTGCTTTTGCGCCAATGCTTGGATCTTCTCACCCAAGAGTCATAGCTGTTGGAGAAGGTCAATAGAATGATTTTTAGTTAGAATTATAATAAATTTTACTGTTTTTTAAATATATTAATTCGGGGCCGTTCAAGTATTACGTAAGCACTATAGGGAGGCGGGGGGTTATTGATTTGCTTATTTTGGGTGACAGCTTTAATTACTTTTGCCGACAAGGGGGATGGGGGTTAAATAATTGTACTAAATCTGTTACGTAATACTTGAACGATTCTTTATTTTTATAAGTAAAATACATATAATATACTTTAATTCAAACTCCAGGTAGTGGGGATTTGCTACGCGTTACGTTACTCTTGAACGAGCAATGCAGGCCGAGATTACGACATTTTTTGAATGGGCATCCTTGTCCAGGAACTCCACTACCGCCAATGCCTCACGGCGCAGTTCTAGCAGAAGCTTCAGTAGATGTGCAAGTGGATTTTGCACAGAATGATGTTGGGGATGTAAATCATTGGGGTAAGTTAGATGTTGAATTGGTTGTTTTGGTTGATATACATAATTAACATATCAAAATAACCAATAATAGACAAATATTGATTGACTTTATTAAAAAAATATGTTTTTTAGATATTTCTATTTTTGTAATAGTTCTCACCCATTTCTTACCGAAGAAAAATTATTTGAATTGATTATATCGACCAAATATGCTTTGTAAAATAACTTGCAAATAGCTAATCGTTTCTTGATTTTTACTCAAATTATGAAATGCAACGCTCTTAACATTTCTCAAACGAAAGAGAACTGGACTATTATCGCTATTTCCATGAATTTATAATATTAACGACTAGAATTAAATGCATTATATTGATACCGATACCGGTTTCTAAAATTTAAAAGCCATTCGATATAACTCGAGAAGGACTCGCGTTGATTAGTTTCATCCGGCGATCGGCCGAGCTGGTTTTTCACGATCAGCTGAAAAGTGCAAAAAATTTGTCCATGTTACTGTCTACAATTCTGAATTGATTTTAAAAACCCAAAAATCGTTCGAAAGATATTGGTTGAGAATTGTGCTGATTAGTTTTTAGTGGAGATCGGCCGACTCGCGACTGTAACTGTAGATTTTTTTTGACGATTTTCATGAAACATTTTTTAAACATAGACATACCTAAACATTACGGTCCTACGACAAATCATTTTATTTTCAAAATTCGTCAGAGTTTGAAAAAATGAGCAGCACTTGTTCGACGTGAGTAGACATTAGAATTTTCAAAAACGGCTAAACCAATTTTAAAAATCTGAAAGCCATTTGATGAAATTTCATAAGCATGCGCATTATAGTTAGTTTTTTTATGCGATCGACTAAGTCGTTTCTTTAGAATAAGCAGAAATGTGCCAAATTTTTTATCTGCATTTGGCCAAAAAGCCTGAATCGATTTTGAAAATTGAAATCCTATTCGAAAATTATCATTTGGGAAACGTGCTAATTAGTTTTTGACAAAGATCGAAAAACTTTTATCGTTAAAACTTTTTTTGACGATTTTAATGAAATTTTATAGGCGTTAGAGTACATGGCCTTAATGGTCCAAATACTATAGTTAGTCTAGTTAAAATTTGAATTCATCGGCAGCTTTTAGAAAGTGTTCGTTTTTCAATAATGTGCAATAAAAAAAGGTGCAAAATAGAATAATCTGAATAGTTTCTCAGGTAAATTACTCATAAATTAATATATTGATTAATTATCGATTTCGAAGTCGATTATTTACACATGTCGTGAACTTATTGCAGCTTGTCTTAAGGCAAAATGCCACTTCCAACTAGTTGAAATTTTATTTGTAATATTTTTTGTAGGTAACAGAAGGACCGATGCGGTTCAAAACGACAGTGCAGCACGAAGGAAAGGTCGCGGTCAAAATAATATGGACGATTTGCAGGACATTCTAATCAGTACATATTGCTTTTTGTTATTTTTTGTGCTATATTAAAATAATACTATTGATTTGATGTATAAAAAAACTATCATTGCAGATATACCATTACGAGATTCGGCACAATCGGGATTAGGCTTGACTTCCAGATCTGCCAGGCCGAGATCTAGTCCACGGCGAGAAGACTTATCATCTTTAGAAATTGGAATGTATGTCTTGTTGGCAGCTTTATGCTTTGCTATAGGTGAGATAATTATTTGAATTTTTGTGATTTGCCTCACATTGATATAGAAAGATTTTGAAGTTATTAGATTATATTTTACTTTATTAATTTCCCGAAGAAAATTTGCTAATTTTTGTTTTCTCAACTTGTCAATTAATTCTGAATTGAAGGAAACCAAATTTGGAAGAAATATGTGTGTGTGTGAGTCCGTGTGTCTATGTGAGTCGATTTTTAATAATTTATCGACGTTTTCTCAAAAAACGGCTAGACCATTTCAAAATTTTAAAAGCCATTCGATGTCTCTTGATAAGGACTATCATTGTTCTGTGCGATGATCGCTCAAGTTTCTTTGCAATTAGTAAAAATTGTGAAAATTTTCGTTTACATTTAGCCCACAATTTTTAAAGGATTTTAAAATTTCAAAAACTGTTCCAAAGATATTGGTTGGGAATCAATAGTTGTTTAGTTGAATAGGTGATTTTTTTACTATTATGATGAAACTTTGTATAACGGTAATCTTTATGAATAACATACTAAATATTATATTATATATTATATTATAGGCGATTATAGGCCTACGATAAGCAGTTACATTATAAAAATTAATCATAGTTTAGAATTCTGCTGTGTTTGAACAATTCTAATCAGAATCTATGCCGAAGCATATGCACGTGCTTTTCGTTGGTAGCGACTGATTACATTTTACTTCCGCACATGAATATAATACATTTTTATAAGACGAAATGGATGAAATAAAATACGTTAAACAAATTGATCTAATTTATATATTTACACATATTGTAAGTATGTTTGAAATACATAAATTGGAAATCGTATATTTTATTTTTCAGTGAAAGTGAAAATTTTATTTTCCATATAACATTTTACCTAAAGAGCTGAATCTCAACTTTTATTTAATTCGTGTGAGAATTTTGTGCAACTTGCTTTAAGGCAAAATGCTACTTCAGCTAGTTAACTTTCCGTAGGGCAAGTTATAGTAATCGCAAAAAAATCGAAAAAGAAAATTTTTGCATTTTTCGACGTTTCAAAGGTTTCTGAATATTTTGGCATACCTTAGAAAAAATGGATGTATGTGTGTGTGTGTGTGTGTGCGTGTATGTATGTATGTGCGGATACAAATTTTCGTCGACGATAATAATTCAAAAAACATTTTACTTATATTGACAAGATGAAGAGTTTATCAAATTTTCATGAGAGCAGGTCTAGCGGTTTCGGAGATCTAACGAAAAAAGTAAAGAAAAAATGCCATTTGGCGGTCAAAAATGATCATTAGACATATGCACATAAAATTATCAGATATTTTATAGACACTTTAACAATAAGTATAAATTTTGTTTACATTCCTATGGGTTCCGTACCAATGTTTATCCGTTAGACGACGGCGCAGTTAAAGCAGTACGATTGCTTTGAAAAAAAGTTCAGATCTTCCAAAATATGTCAAAATAAATACATAAATAAAGAAAGAAAATTTGATTTTTTTTAAATTTTTTTTTTCAAAAAAAGTAATTTTTTGTCCAATTTATAGTTTCTCAAAAATCTAATTTTTTCGAAGTAATTTTTTTTTTTAAAATATTAATCGTTTTTAAAAAAATAATAATTTTTAGTACGGGAAGTTCCAGCAATTTGTCTTAAGGCACGATGCCTTAATTGCCACTTACAGCTAGTTGCATTTTTTTTTTTTGACAGTTGTGTTCGTGGTATCTTGCGTGGTGTACGCTTCTCGTTTGAAGCCTGCACATGTGGGAGGAGGCGTTACTGTTACTCCAGTGACACGTCGCTCAAGTGGTGCCAACGGCAACGGGAATGGCAACAGGCTGGCCAACGGCGTTGGAATCACAGAAAATAATCGAGATTGTTCAAACGCACATGATTGGGTATGGCTCGGACGTGCAACTATGGACGATAGGGAGTCTGGCCATTTGATGACTAGGTAGGTTAAGTGTTCTCTTATTTTGCATGAGTAACTTTATTTTTTTCATTGTTTTTGTTAATAATCATTTAAAGAAAACTACTGAACAACTAAACCAAGTTGAAAATTGATTTAATTGAAACTAAAACCTGCTTAGCATTCTATATTATATGACTGCGATAGAGTTTTCCTGTGTTATTACTACATCGTTTTGAATGTTCATAGTAAGCTAAATCATAAATTATATCTAGATATTGTTTTATTTTAGAAATCAATGTAGAAAACATGTAGATAGTAAATAAATTGTTTTTAAAATCCACAAAGATGTTTAACAATAGGTCACCTTTTACTTTAAATAAATGTAAAATGTAAATTTTGTATTTACTGCAACAGAAGAAATTTTGATTTTAATTAATTGAATTTTAATTTTAGTAATAAATTAAGAAAATATTTATTTAAAATTTTCTCTGTTTCAAAATAACAGTATCTTATGAATTATATAATCAGGGCCGGTCCTGCCTTGCATGCAATGCATGCAAAAAATGCGGGCGCAAGCCTTAGGGGGCGCCAAAACGAGTTTCGGAAATTAAATTTATAATATAATATTTATATTTTTTTATATAAAATCTAGAAATATTCATTCAAAATCTAGAATACTTAATAAATTATAATAAATATTTTAACTCAACTAGGGATACGGAGACACAAAAAGCATATTTATTTTGAAATGTGATATCAGTAGAAACAATTAACCGATTAATAATTCTGCAAATTAGTAAATAACTATTAGTAATAACTGTTTATTGCTTAATCTACTTATTCAATTTTTTCTTTGTTTGAAGTTACCGTGGAATTGAAAAAGAAATTATCCAGTGTTCAATTCCATAAGCGCAAACCTGCGAAAGATTAAATTAATTATTGGGCATTATTGACGAAAAATTGCGAGCTGATTTAGTTGAATCGGAACTTGTTAAAAATATAAACATATTATAAAAAATGGGGAGTCAGAGCTTAGAAAATGACTTGTTTATTCCGAGAAATTGAATTGTAACTTTTGCTTTTGTTGCAAATGTTTCGCATCTGTTGAACTTCGGATGCTGAAGACATGCGTGGAACAAATATGAAAAATGGAAGCAAAATTTTTTTTAAAACGAAAATCTTAAGGCTTGTTTTATACCTAGTGGTGTCCATACTCTAAATTTAATAATTATTAACTATACAGAAATAATACATATCAAATATTATAAGTTTTTTTTTCAATATTGTTTAAGAAATGTGTAATTTCTTTGCATTTTTTACTAAAAAACTTTTTACTTTAAAAATTTAACTTCAAAACAACAAGCTGATACTCTGAAAATGACAGCTCTTACGATATCAAAAAGAAGAAGTTTACGACGCAATTTTGGATATTGTAAATGATGAAAAATTAAATTAAATTAAAATTTAAAAAATCCAACAGGAAATACGAGTGCTATGTTTGAAAATGAAATGCTATTTTTTAAATATTATAATTGCACATACGTTAAAAATAATTGAAAATTTCAAAATACGTGATTATAATCAACCCCCGAATCGCCTCGATTTTCTAAATAAATTTAAAATCAATATATTTTATACGCTTTTAGATTATATCTAATTTTTTGTGCACTAAATTCAGAATAATTAAAAATTAATTTATTTATTTCACTTAATATTTCAGAAATAGTATTTATTATTTTGATATCAGTATCTTTATATCAAAATAATAAATACTATTTCTGAAATGCATTTCTTAAATTCTACAACTTCAATCTAACAAAAATATTAACTCCTTTGCTATGGTAGTCGAACTTACATCCTTAACCAATTTACTACATATTGAATATTACTAAAATGTGAAATTATGACAGGAATTGTTTTATTTATTTATATCGGTAATAATAAATAAATTTAAAATCAATATATTTTATACGCTTTTTTAGACCCCAGGACCGGCCCTGGATATAATATATCTGTTATTAAAAAGTATAACTTGAAGTCTTATAAATTCATATGACTTGTTTTTATTTACAATCGCTGTTCAAAATTTATGATGAAATGAGGATATTAAATTACACTTTTTCAAAATGTCAGCGATCAACAATCAACAAACTGTCTTTTTAATTTGAAATAATATCTCCTGTAAAATTTTAGAAATTTTAAAACAAAAATTTTAGAAATAATTTCTATATATTTTAATATGATTCTTGATTTTATATTCTCCACATTTTTTAGGGATGATCACGTGAATGGTAACAACGTTGATATGCGAATAATTGATAACCCTATGTCAATTAATTATTGCGAACCTGGAGACTCTATGAACAATCAATCTGGACAACAACCTAGAGCCATTGATTCTACAACTTATTGCAAAAAAGATCGTATCAAGCCGCCAATTAGACATTCGAGGTATTGAGAAATTTTAGTTTTAACTATATGTACTATATGTATGTTTAATGAAATGACCATTCGGTTTGAATGGCCAAAAAAGTATTTGTTGAGAGAGGTTCAAAGTGTTTAAGAAGTTCGTGATCTATCTGGATGCTGCCGAACTCTATTGAACACTTGCACTTTGCCGAAGGACCAGATATATTTAGTTGTTGGCTATATCAGACCGTTTGAACAAAAATAAAAGATGTTGAATAACTGTTTGATTATTGTGTATTTGAAATATTAAGACTTATAGATGATTAGATAGTTGAGGTTTTAATTAGATGATTTAGATTTGAGTGTTAATTTACGACTGATCTTAACTGTATGAAATTTAAGTTGATACTAAAATATGTAGATTTTATAATTTTATATATTTTTCTGATTGGCCCATTTTGTGGAGTTAAGGACACCCCATTACAATTTTGGAACCAATCAGTGGTTATTACATTTATCAACCGATCAGGTATTGGTTGATAAATTGCATGATACGAAGAATTTAAACTGGATACAGGTAGTGCGAATTTCTTGGAATTATAAGGATTATAGTATGATATAGTTAGGGACAGGTGATAAAAATTCTAGGAAAAATGGATTACTGATTTTGCGACAGGACGCGTAACAATGAAAGGGATGGATGAGGGTTTATTGTCGCTATCCTGCATGGAGATAATAAAATATAATAATTATACCAGGGTTGGGAATGACGCGTTAACATGCCCCCGGACTTAAAAAATTATGAGGAATTAATTATGAATATTTTTTAACGTTGCTTAATCATAGTTTTATGCCATTGCTTAATCATAGTTTTATGCCATTGCTTATAACAATGTTAATGTATTAAAAGTTTATAGATAGCACATGACATGTGATGATAATATTGATAATAGATTGATTAATGATAATGATAATGATTATGAATATAATGTTAGATTATTCACGGACACTTTACTAGAGTCTTTAAAATTGTCCAAATGTTCAAAATGATTGTTGATTATTGACACTTCACTAAAGGTTTTTAATTGTCTAAATGTTTCAAATGATTGTTAATAATTTACACTTCACAACACTTTGTTTGTTTTATTGTTTCAAATTATTTATCGTCAATTGGTAAGACACAGATTCTTGATACTGCACGTTTCACTAAATTATTGTTTGTTTTCACTGTTACCACTCGCACGATGCCGTCTTCTCCGGGATGTAGTGTTATAATTCGGCCCAATCGCCACCGTAGTGGTGGTAAATTTTCATCGCGTAATAGTACCATATTACCGACTTTAATGAGTTCTGATGAATATTTGTGCCATTTTGTTCTCACTTGTAGTTCCGATATATATTCTTTGTACCACCGTTTCCAAAAGTGTTGCGTCAGTCTCTGAAGACGCTGATAGCATGACAGCCTATTCTCAGAAATTTCAAGCACACATGGATCTGGGATTGATGTGGGTGGTTTGCCAATTAAAAAATGACCGGGAGTGAAAGGATTGTAATCATTGGGATCAGAGCTTAATGGAGATAATGGTCTTGAGTTTAATATTGCTTCGATCTGTGTTAATACTGTGTAAAATTCTTCGAACGTAAGGTATGCATCGCCAAGAACGCGTTTTAAATGGGCTTTACATGATTTAATGCCTGCCTCCCAAAGCCCCCCAAAGTGAGGAGAATTTGCCGGAATTTAATGCCAGGATATAGACTCAATTGATAGATTGTTTGTAATGGTAGATTTAATAGATTTATTTTGTAAAAATTTTGATAATTCGTTTAATTCAGAATTTGCACCTACGAAGTTAGTGCCATTGTCCGAAAATATATCGCTAGGTTTGCCGCGGCGAGCAGTGAATCGTCTCAAAGCTGCTAAAAAACACTCCGCGGTCAAATCGGATACTAGTTCAATGTGAATGGCTTTGATGACAAAACAGACAAACAAACAGATATATGCTTTATATTTTTTATAACCTCTGGTACGGCGATCTCTTAGAATTATGGGACCTCCATAATAGACGCCACATGTCGAAAATGACGTTTGAGGGTTATTCGGTGTGTTGGTAAGTTTCCCGTTAATGGGTTTATTGAAGTTGGTTTAACTTTGAAACAAGTTATGCAATTTTTGACTATGTTTCTAGTTAGATTTCTACCCCCCATTGGCCAATAATTATTGCGCAAGGTATTTAACAACATTTGAGACCCGCAGTGATATAGTCTCAAGTGTTCATATTTCGCAATTAACGTTGTTAATATGTGTTTTTTCGGCAAAACTATTGGATGACGCTTGCTATAACCAATATTTGAGTTTTTTAAGCGACCTCCAACGCGAAGTATTCCGTTTTCGTCAAGAAAAGGATTTAACGTTTTTAAATTAGAAGTTTTATCTACCGACCCATTCTTTATTATATTACTTATGTCCTTTTTGAATGCTTCGTTTTGAGATAGCTTTATTAAAAGCATACGCGAAATATTCAGTTCACATACTTGTAAAGGTCCGCGTACCCTCACTGTTTTCTTTGGTCTGCAATTCTTAGAAAAACGTAAACAATGAGCTACGACACGAATCAGTTTAGTGATGGATGAATAGCGATTAAATAATTCATTTGTTTCGTCAATAATGGAAATTAGGGTAGTAGTACGACTTTCCTCATCTGTTGTAGGTATGTTGTTATTATGCTGATCGATTTTTATTGGATATCGTAGCCATGATGTACCGTTCAACCATAATGAAGAATTTATTAAATCGCGCGCGAAAATTCCCCGTGATATTAAGTCAGTGGGATTGTCTTGTGATTTAACATGCAACCAGTTATTGATATCAGTTTTAGTTTGGATATCGGCTATCCTATTAACAACAAATGTTTTCCAACGGTAGGATGGAGATTTAATCCATGATAAAATAACTGTTGAATCGCTCCAAAAAAATTCCCTATCGAAGGTGATGTTTAACGCTGTTTTGATTTTTTGTATAAGATTTGCTAATAAGTGCGCTGCACATAATTCAAGTCGCGGCAGTGTTATATTACGCAATGGTGCTACTTTAGATTTGGAAGTAATGAGTTGAATTTTAAAGTTTGAATTTTTGTTAGCTGATCGTATATATACGCATGCACCATAAGCTCGTTCAGACGCATCTGCAAAGCCATGCAATTCTATGTTTACATGATCTTTACAAAACATATGTCGGTCGATATTTATATCATCAATAGATTTTAAATCTTTGTAAAATAATTTCCATTTATTTTCTATATCGGACGGTATTGACTCGTCCCAAGATATGTTTAAACGCCAAAATTGTTGGATAATTAATTGGGTGTTATTATAAAAGGCGATAGAAGCCCAATAGGGTCGAATATTCGAGCTGTTGCGGCTAAAATTGATCTTTTGCTAATATTTTTATTTATTTTGATATGTTTAGAATTAAATTCAAACCCTGTCTTGGCTAAAGTTGTAATTGTTTTATCGCCGATACTAAGCCAAGTATTCTGATTGTTTAAAAGATTTTGATAGTTAGCATTAGAATAATTTACGTTGTACTTTGCTTGATTATGTTTAGTAGTTAGATTTTGTTTATTTAAAATAAGTTTTTCTGTTGCATTGACTTTAGTTGATAAGTCAACGTCACAGAAGATGTTTTTAATAATATCGCTTTTTGGATTTTGAGTAAGATTCTTATTTGTTACTTGTTTTATTTGATTATTGAATTCTAATAATGATGCTGAGGTAGTGTCTCTTATTACCGTATTTGATTTAATGTTGTTTTTAGGTTCAAGATGTTCAGCGTTATAATTAGTTTGATTTAAGTTAATTGTTACAATTAGTTTATTAAAACTAGTTCTTCTGTCGTATTAGCTTTAGTTGATAAGTTATGATTACAGAAGACGTTTTTAATAACATTGCTTTTTGGATATTGAGTAATATTCTCATTTGTTAATTGTTTTATTATTTGATTATTAGAATCTAATAATAGTACCGAGGTAGTTACTCTTTTTACCTTATGTGATTTAATAACGTTCATAGTTTCAAGATGCGCAACGTTTCTAGATTTATTATTATTAGATTCATTGAGAGTTATTGATTCAGATGGAATCGAAATATAGTTGTTTAATGTTTTTGTATGATTGTTTACTATAATAGTTTTACTTTCGTACCGCGATTTTAGCAATTCCCAAACATTTATGTAGTTGTCCGCGGTAGCAGGTAAAGAATCGATTATGTTACCTGCTTCGCCTTTCAAGCAAGATTTTAGGTAAGAATATTTTTGAGAATTGCTAATATTTGGGTCAATATGAATTGTATAGAATGAATTATAGAACTGTAACCAGTTAATATCTGTACCGTCGAAATGAGGTAAATTAATTATAGCAAATTTATTATTGTTTGTTTGATATGATTTGTCACCAATGCCACTACTTGAGCTAGGATCTGTTTTAAATGTTTTAATAGTTGTAAGTAAAATTGAACAGCATTTAGTATAAGTATCATTGAAATCGTAAAATTCTGTATCTATCAAAAAGTCAATGTACTCTTCGTCATCAAAATGATTTGCAATTTGAATTATTAATTCTTGAAAAGTATCCAAAGAAGATTTTAGTATTTCTAATATTTGTTTAAGCTCTGATATATCTAACTTGCTACTCTCATTTTCTCTTATTTTTTTACAAAAGCTATGGATTTGCGTCAAACGAAATTTCATAAACTCTTTTTTGATATTTAAATTTTCTAAAGAATCCATATTAACACAGATCTACTACGCAAAATTCAAATAACGAAAGGTAAAGATAATGAATAGGAAGGATTAAGAAAAAGGAGTGCTTAAATTAGACTGACCTTTGTGTTGTCGGCATTCCGTGTCCTCGCTTGATGTTAAGCTGATTTGGATTCAGCTGTTGTTTCCTTGATAATGTGCTGCTTGTTGTTTCACGATAATACACAACGCACTTACACTGAGATTTATTGTTAATCTTGATGTTAGTTTGATTTAATTGTTTATATTGTTGTTGATATAATCGTTGATTAAATTTGATTTTAGATTAATGTTTATGCGATGCAATGTATTATGTTAAAGGATGATTTAAATAATTACACTGTGCACTATAAGTTTTAGATTTTAGATTTTAGATTAATATTCATGCGATGCAATGTATTATGTTAAAAGATGATTTAACTAATTACACTGTGCACTATGAGTTTTAGATTTTAGATTTTAGATAAAGGTTTTTAACTTAATATGCGATGCAATGTATTACACTAGAAGATGAAGATTTAAATAATACACTGTGCACTAAGTTTAGATTTTAGATTTTAGATAAAGGTTTTTAACTTAATATGCGATGCAATGTATTACACTAGAAGATGAAGATTTAAATAATACACTGTGCACTAAGTTTTAGATTTTAGATTATTTCCTTCACGTTCACTGGTTGATCCGGTTCGATGGGGACCAAAAAATGTTTAGTAAAATGACCATTCGGTTTGAATGGCCAAAAAAGTATTTGTTGAGATAGGTTCAAAGTGTTTAAGAAGTTCGTGATCTATCTGGATGCTGCCGAACTCTATTGAACACTTGCACTTTGCCGAAGGACCAGATATATTTAGTTGTTGGCTATATCAGACCGTTTGAACAAAAATAAAAGATGTTGAATAACTGTTTGATTATTGTGTATTTGAAATATTAAGACTTATAGATGATTAGATAATTGAGGTTTGAATTAGATGATTTAGATTTGAGTGTTAATTTACGACTGATCTTAACTGTATGAAATTTAAGTTGATACTAAAATATGTAGATTTTATAATTTTATATATTTTTCTGATTGGCCCATTTTGTGGAGTTAAGGACACCCCATTACAATTTTGGAACCAATCAGTGGTTATTACATTTATCAACCGATCAGGTATTGGTTGATAAATTGCATGATACGAAGAATTTAAACTGGATACAGGTAGTGCGAATTTCTTGGAATTATAAGGATTATAGTATGATATAGTTAGGGACAGGTGATAAAAATTCTAGGAAAAATGGATTACTGATTTTGCGACAGGACGCGTAACAATGAAAGGGATGGATGAGGGTTTATTGTCGCTATCCTGCATGGAGATAATAAAATATAATAATTATACCAGGGTTGGGCAATGACGCGTTAACAATGTAAATGTGCATTTTCATAATTATTTTAAAAATGCTTTATATTACAGCAACGATGTTGGACCTCCCGTTCCTCCTCATGGAGTGGCAGATTGCTGTAAGTATATATTTAAAATAATCTTAATAAATATAAACAAAGATTGCCGAATTCTAGTTCTTATATGATATAATATAATGTTAATTGTTAATTATTCTATAATTTTATTATATATTTAGCTTTCCTTAAGGTAAGTTATAGTAATCGCAAAAAATTGAAATTGAAAATTTTTGCATATCTTTACGTTTCAAGACCTTCTGTGTGTATGAGTGCATGTTTTGTGTGAATACAATTCCATTTTTTGCGATTACCATAACTTACCCTACGAGAAGTTAATAATGCGGATTTAAAGTATACTTAAAATTCTGAATTTTTACACCCTTTCCACAAACCCCTATTTAATAGTAGTCATTTTATAGTTGTACAATAATTATTCATTCAACTAGCTCGATTTTTGTTCATTTATGTGCTTTTGTGAACTTTTGTTACTGAATTTTGATCAAGATTTGTTTGAGTTTATGGAAAAGCTTAAATTCATCCGCGATATCCGCTGTAACATTTTCAATACAATTCTTAGATATTGGCGAAGGGAAGGTTATATAGATAAATCTAGATGCGTCAAAATATTGATCGATTATTGCATAAACTGATTCGCAGGATTTTCGAATTGTACAAATATTTTAATATTAAATGTAATGATTGAATATTAAAACCTGAATTTTCCACATGAAAATTTATATGTGGCATGTTTTACAGTGGGTAAATCATCCAGACATTTTTTGTTAGCTGCCTCTTTCACTAATACTAATAAGTAAACACCTAATACGTAAAATGTAAAATTAACCCCACAATTTTATCATTTGAATCAATTATTTTTAAAAACTCTTATAAACTCTTGTAAACATACTTAAGTGCTTTATGCAATAAGCTTATCGCAATGTAAAATATGGAATATAAAATTTTTAGTATTTATAATAATTTATTTGAAAATATTTAAAACAATTGTTATCATTCATTGATCGATTTTTATTGATCAGTTTTCCATTGAT